AAACACCTTAATGTGGATGCTGGAGACCTGTTAACTATGCATCTCCCTGAGGCCAGCATGGGCTGCTCCCTGGTCATACACCAGGCTTTTTCAGGGAAGGAGTGGGGCATCTTCCAGCTGCAGCTGCCCCAGCAGAAACCCTCTGTCTCTGCCCTCTCTCCTAGCACGGGGCATTTCCTCCCAGAACATGAGGTACGAGCAGATCCACCTGGTGCTGGCCGACCCCCCCGAAGCCTGCGGGGAGCTCAGCAATGGCGTCTTCATCCAGGACCAGATCGCCCTGGTGGAACGGGGGTAAGACAGGGCAGGGGGGTATTTATGGTGTGATTGTGGCAGTAGTCAAGGAGATGCACTGCATCTCGGGGCTCTTGCCTGCAGAGGCGGCTGGACATGGGCATCCTTGCCGTGCTGGGCTGCAGGGAGCGCACAGGCGGGTGTCACGGTGTGCGGAGGCCGCGGTCAAAGCGTGCGGACGCTGCTATTCTGGAAGGAGCACGCTGGATCTGATAGCTTGGGGGCTGCAGCAGTAGGTGGCAAAGCCCATGGCTCCAGAGAGGCATCGGAGCCTGCCCCTGGACTCGTGCGGAAAGCCGCCCGTGGTGAACTTGGTTGCACGGGGCTGCCTCGCTGTCGTAGCAGCCGGGGGGGTAGCCTTTTGCCCTGTCAGCTCAGGTGGACATCTGCCCCTTATCGATCCAGCCTAGCTTGTCACCCTGGAAATGGCCAGGGCCAACCTGGGAGATGCCAGGGCAGTCATCACAGCTGGGGACACAGCAGTCCCAGGCTGTCCCTTGCTACGCCAAGCCCTGAAGCGGGCATAGGGAGAGCATCAGGGGCTGGAGACACATGAAGGCATGAGGCAGCCGCCTCGTCTCCCTTGGCATCTCCATCCCACGGGCTCGGGCCTGCCCCAGCCTGGCACAGATCAGCCCAAGGAAGACATAGCCTCGCTGTTGGCTCCAAGGAGCTGGCTTGCACCTGTCCTGTGAAGCCTTTCCACGTCCCCTGCCTAGGGAGGAGCTGAGGGACCTGGGGCTGGGCAGTTCCCAGGTGCTAGTGGCCAGCGGGGTCCTGGTGTGGCTTGAGAAGCATTATTATTCCCCAAGAGTCCCGCAAGAAGTCAGCCTTGCCGGTCCCTCCCTGGCCATGCCACCAAACCCCAGCTCCCAGAGCCCTCCAGGGTGGGGGCAGGCTCCTAGCCCAGCTCTTGCAAGGTGAGGATGGGCCCTGGCATCACCAGGGTTGTGTGCGTGTGGGGTGGGGGTATTTCTCATTGCAGGGGCTGCTAATTCCTGTCGAAGACATGGGTGGTCCAGGAGCACGGCGGGCGGGCGGTGATCATCGCTGACAACGCCTATGACAACGACAGCTTCTACGTCGAGATGATCCAGGACAGCACCCGGCCCACCGCCGACATCCCCGCTCTCTTCCTGCTCGGCAGGGACGGGTGGGTGCCTGTGTCTCCTTCCCCTCCTCGCAGCATGGGGAAGGGGTTGTGCCCCCCTGCAGCCAGTCTTGCCACCCCCGACCCAGTAGACACCCCAGGCAATGGAGACAGGAGTCCTCTGTTTGTCTGCAGACCTCCTGGTCATAGCAGAGATTACAGCCGATAGACCCTGGTCTGGGTCCTTGGAGGACTTAGCTAGAGCTGGGGAGCACACTTCCTTGCTGCCTGGATTCATTCAGTCGCTATGGCAGGGGTCTCCCAGTGGCCTTCTGCATTGCAGTCTGCCCCCTCCCAATGATGGGCCCAGCCCTAATTGCCAGGGAAGTCTCTAGGGAAGGGCTGAGTGACTTCTGCCCTCTCTAGGGTCCAGAAAGCTGCTGCCCCCACCCCCCAGACCAGACCTCAGTGCAGTCCAGGGGTGGTTTGCTCTGGACCTGCCTCTTCTGGCCAGTCCCAGCGCACATCCAGCTCCGAGCCCCCCACTTTGCTGACTCCCACTGTTCGCGGGAATCTCTGTGACAGCTCTGCCTCCCTAGGTACATGATCTGGCGCTTCTTGGAGCAGCACGGCTTGCCCTGGCCCATCATCTCCATCCCTGTTAACGTCTCCAGCATCCCCACATATGAAATGATGCAGCCGCCCTGGACCTTCTGGTAGCACGCTGTGATGGATCCTGAGGTTGTGGGTGCAGGGACCCCATCCCACCGTGAGCTCCCTGCGCATTGGGGGCTTTCTGGGACTTACTAGCCTGGTGCCTTTGGCTGCAGCTTGCATCCAACTAAATTCCAGCCCTTTGGAGGTGCAGTGGGACCTGGATCACTCCCTGTCCCAATGCCGGATGCCTTTTGAGGGGTGTTTTCTCAGTTAGGAGGCAGCTGGCCTAGACCGTGGCATCAGGGCTGCCAGAGCTCACCTCGCTGCTGCCATGAGCCATAGCATTGCAAATGGGTGCTGCGGACACCAAGCCCCGTGACTCACGTCAGCATTGCCCCGTGCTGCCAGGAGGCACCAGAAGGGCTGTGGTTTATCCTCCTCCTGGCCCGGAGGATCCAGCCGGTGAGCTGAGTCGATGTGGAGGGGCTGGGGCAGCGAGGACGCAGTCCTGCATGGGGTTTATCCCCCGAGGGGAGAGCTCTCGCTGCACCAGGTCTTAGTGCAAAGTGCTCCCAGCAAGCTTAGATGGGCAGCTTGCCCAGAGCTGGGCTTGCATCAAAGGACCAGAGCTCCTGCCAGTTAAGACCCAGCACCAAAGGCCTGGGGAGGGTCACAGGGGCTAGGTTTACCCCCTCTGCAAGCTCACCGATGCCATGGAAATGCCCCTGCTGACACCTAACCTCCGTGACGCTGGAAGAGATGGACATGGTGTGGTCCAGACCCCTCCAGGGTGCACAGAGGGGCATCAGACCGCCCTGCAAGCTGCTTTGCATGCCCAGCCCTGCCCCCTCATGCCGTGCACCCACTGCTTCTGTCCTCTGGATCCTTTTCAGCCCAGGACTTGGCCTCGCGTCTGCAGCAGGCTGAGCTTTAAGCACGCTGCTCGCTTCTGCACCAGCCCTATCCCAGGGGCTCCTTGCATCCTGCAGGTCCAGGAGCTTCCAGCCCCCGTGGCTGGCGGCTCCATCACTCATTAAAGGAGCCCTGGCTTCATCTCCTTGGCGGGACACACCATTGCTGCTGTGCCCTTGTCACAGTCCCGCTCCTCTCCTGCACCATGGACATCTTCAGCTCTGCCCATCCCCATCCTTGAGCCTCCGAATGGCTGTGACGTTATCTGAAGCTGCACCAGATAATCCAAAGGGTCCCTTTGCCAGGGGTGAGCAGGGCTTTCCAGAGCAGAAGTGGCCAAGCCAGCTCATTTGCAACAGGAGCCTTCACCCTTCACCCTGTTTCCTACATCCCACCTGGGTGAGATGTGTTGCTCGACCATGGCTGGCAAGATGGGTGGCACCTGCCTGGCACGATCCCACCACCTCTGTCCAGGCACGTGGCCTGCAACGACCTCGCTGGACCCTGGCTTCTCGGTGTGGG